TGAAGAGTAGCTAAGGGATTTGAACTGAATGCCTTTGGGTTGACAGTGCAATTCCTTACCTACTGGGCCACCAGAGCTCTCTTTTGTGTATGATCTTGATGACTTACTTCAAGGTTACTCCAAGAAAAGAAATCCATTTATGTCAAGTCCTTTTTAACTTATGGCAGCTTTCTCTCAGGTTTTGAGGTTACAGAACTTAACAGGAGCGGAAGTAAATGGTGCAGTTGAACTGTTGATCTTTCAGTGAGCAGTTGAACATTTAACTTTACTATACACCAGACTTCCATCAGTTCTATGTTACGCAGATATTAATTTTAAAACCATGACTAGAATCTAACTCTCCAGATTCTCAATCTACAAGACATTCTGTATCCAGATACATTTATACTTTGTTCCTAACTTTTAAATGTAATTTGAGTGATTTTTCATTATAATAATAACTTTGTAGAACAGTCATTTAACCAAGTTGCTTTATCTGTCTGTAAAATAAAGGACAATTATAATTTAAACTGTTGCACTGATATTGTATACTATTTTTGGGGAACCATAAATATTTAAAAAGACAATTAAAAGTCATATTTTTAAAAATTACATTAGCTGAATGTTCACTTTAGTTCTTCTCTTTGCTCTTCCCAATCTATGTCTCTGTAGAAACACTGTATCTTTGTGATTTTATAGCATAGACTTGGCTTTATGGATTGGAAGTTGAGTCAAAAAAGAAGTTGATATATCAGAACAAATTTAGATGGATGGTTAAATAATCTGTCTCTATTATTATTACCAGAGATGAGTGCTACTTTCTGTAGGATTTTAGAACTATAGTTTTAAACGGAAATTGTCGTCATAAACATAAGTATGTGTTCCTCATGTTATTTTTATGTCCTCCTTGTTTTCTGTATATGGAATTAATGAAGTACTAATGACTTAATGGGGATAGGTAAGTAAAACCCTTCCTAGATGAGATCCATTCATGAATTTCATTCTGACTGATGCTTATTCTAATATGAATTTCAGTTTTGCACCATTTAGAATAGGATACTAATTTTTTAATCTTCTACTTATTTTTCAGCAAACTCATCTCCAGGCTCTCCATTTTAATGTGTTTTGAAATTATATAGATGAAAATCCATTAATAGGAATCTAAATTATGTATGTATGTTTGTTTGTTTGAGGTTTTGTTGATCAGTTGCTTCCTTACAAAAGCTGATTTCAATTTTAATAGTATTGCTTATTTTAAACTAATGGTTTTAACTTAATTCTGTTGTTGTTTGTCATTGAGTAAGAAATGACTCATAGTTGACCCTCCAATGGGTTTTCAGAGACTGTAAATCACATGGGAGGATATTGCCCCTCTTTCTCCCACAGAGCAGCTGGTGGATTCAAATTGTGTGCCTTTGGTTGGTAGCATAACATCTTGCTGCGATGCCACCAGAACTTCCTGTTATTGTTCAGTGACATTAAGTCAGTTGTGTCTCATAACCATCCTATGTACAGCAGAACCAAATCAAAATCATTACCATCATCAAAATCATTGCTATGTTTGAAAACATTGTTGCAGCCACTTGCCAGCACATATTACTAGGGTGTTCCCCTCGCCCCCTCCACCAAGCATGACGTTCTCCTTCAGGGAACTGTCCATCCTGGTAACATGTTCCAAGCATATAATACAAAATCCTCCCAGTCGCAATTCTCTAAGCATTCTGGGTTTACATCTTCCAAGATAAATTTGCTTGTTCCTCTGGCTCTCCATAGTATATTTATCATTTTTTTTAAATACCGTAATTCAGGTGCATTCATTTGTGGGTCTTCTATATTCATTGCCCAGCTGTCATATGCATATGAGCCAATTGAAAAGACATTTCTCTCTTTGTTCATTGCTTATTGATCTACTTATAAATAGTTTTGTTTTCTTAACAAGAAGATATAATTAATACTGAAGTCTGTGTAGTCTGGTTTTCATCAGTAAGTACTTCAAGTCCTTTTGATTTTTAGCTCATAAGTTTGGGTCTTCTGCATAACTTAGGTTGTGAATGAATTTTCCTTCAATCTTGACAGAATTCATCTTCTAATCCAACTTCTTGGATTCTATGGTGAAAGTATACAACCGTTGTACACATATCTTTCCTAATTATGAGCGACTCAGTATCCCTGTGTTCTTAAGTTATGTACAGATTATGAATCAAGAGAATTAACTGTTCCAAGATTTCCCTTGTTATCCACATAATCAAATGCCTTTGCATTTTCAATAAAACACAGGTACACATCTATTTACTGTTATCTGCTTCCAGCCAAGATCCACCCATCTGGATCTGGCTTGAATTTCTGGGAGCTCTCTGTCAGTATACTGCTGAAACTCTTTCTGGGTTGTCTTATACAATTTTACTTGCATGTGATATGAATACTATTGTTTGATAGTTACTTCATTCTGTTGAATAACTTGTCTTTGGCATAAGTGCATATATGGAATTGTTCCAGTTGGTTGGCTAGGTAAATATCACTCAGATTCTTTGGTCTAAAGAACTGAGTGCTTGTAGCATTGTGTCTATATTTTCTTTTGCAAAGACATTGTGCACAATTCGGATTCTTCCTTCAAGACAATTTATCCTTGATCATATGCTCCCTCTTAAAATGACTGAATACCAACCAGTTATTTTTGGTACAAAAATGACTCTGTGTATTCTTTCAATCTTCACTGGATGCTTCTTGTGCCGTTCAGTATTTTATCAATAAATCTTTCAGTATTGTGCTATGTGTGCTCTCCATTTTTGTGCCTTTTAATCTCTCCTCATAGGAAGGGGCAGTCCTTGGAAAAAGACATCATGAAGGGTAGACAGTCAATGAAAGAAAGCAAGACCTTCAACAATATAGATTGACACTGTGAAAGTAATAGTGTGCTCCATTATGTTGGAAATTGTGAAAATGGTGCAGGATAGAGCAAAATTTAGTCACTGTGAGTCATAGTCAACTTGATGACACACAAAAACATCTCTGCACATTCCATTTTAATAGTTTATTTTGTTTTCTTGAATCAGCCTTTAAAACTTAGTACCACACTACAAAATTTAGGACATTAATAATTTTAGAATAGAGATATACACAGAATATATTCTTAAATGAGGAGGAAAGAGACTTTTCTCTTTTTCTCAGACTTAGTGTGTAGTGTTCCTAATTCCCTGGGGTTGTAATTGTCCATGGAGGCCGAGAAGTTCCTGAGCAGTCGTTCCACTCTGGAAACTGGTTTCTTGAGTATTGATGGGGGTCATATAAGGAAAGTTTTGGGATGTGTTCGATTTTGAGATACTGGTTTTTTCCCCTCCATAAGCAGGTGTTAGTTGGCCTTTGGCCCCGGTTTCGCCGGCAAGGACCTAATGGGGGAGGCCTGCTGAAGGGTGTGTGTTTATTTATTAATTTTAGAATTAATATTCTTTAAGTGATACAGCAGTCATTTGTCTATTTGCTGTACTGAACAACTTGGAGTTGCTGTGATGGTGAACACTGTGCCATAGTTATGTCAAATACATAGTGGTTACCCATCATGGACAGTATTTGGAGGAGATTCCAAATTGATTAAGGTTTAGAAGCAGGAGTGGCAAACTCTGTAAACTCTATAATAATACAGAAATTATGTTATTTAGAGAACAGAGTTCAGGTCTCTTATTTATAGGGTCACTATAAGTTGTATTCGACTTGATGACACTTAACCACTGCTAAGCAAGATTAGTGTTATATTTGGAGGAACATTCTGCTTTGTTAATAACTCTTTGTCAATTTGCTGTACTGAGGTAATCTGGGTTTGCTGTGATGCTGAACCTTGTGCCACTGGCGTGTCAAATACCATAGTGGTCTCCCAGTGGAGCTCCCAGTTGTAAAACAGGTTTGGAAGCAGGAGTGGCATCCACATCCAAACCACATGCCTATGGACACTCTATGAACTTGGAGAAATGAAGGTGGTTATGAAAAGGCATTGAGTCTTTTGTTCATAGAGTTGCTATGAATTGTATTTGACTTGACAGCAATCAACAATAACATGTGGATTTTAGTGTCTTACTTACCCAGGTTTTATCTTCTGTCAGATACATTCAACATTGACCTTTGGGCAATTAAATTACCTTTTAACTTTATCTATATTTCTCCAGGGGTGCTCTTAAAAAATACCTTGCAAGATTTTTTAAAAATTGACCCAAATCCTCTCTTATAATCAAATCTCACACTTGTAGATGGTATTATCAGTCATAAGTACTGTATTATCATATGAAGTGAAGTACTCATATAAAGAAAACACAAATATGAAGTTTTCCAGATTCTGACTTTTAAAAATTAAATGTAGGAACAATAGTCAAAATAATTGTTTATATCAATTATCCTCACTGTACTGAATATTGATAACTCATTGAATTATCAACAATCCTAATAGTTTCCAGACTTATACAGTTTGATTTTTGCTTTACATATATATTTTTTACTTTTTGAATCTGGGATTAAATGGGCATCCCTGGGGAAAGTTCTATTAAGACTTAGGTATTTTTATCATATATAGAAGAACATTGAAAACAAATATAATTTTGCTTCTCAATTAGCACCTTACATTAAAAATTGTGAATAGTAACTCTGTATCATTTGAAAATAGATCTCTAAACTTAGAGAATATTCAAGAACATATAAAATTTTCTCATACATGTAATATCTTGCATGTAAGGTAGTACATCATCCTATAAATTTATTTTGCGCTTCTTATGAGTACAGGAAAAATTATATATTTATCTTACTTAACTCTTGTTTTTAGATTGACAAACTTCTAAAATGCTTTATATTATGGACATTAAAATTTATCCCAGTTGTACCTATATTTTCAATATTTTGGAAAGTAAATTTAAGAATCTCTATTATAGGATGAATATTTAATTATACAGTTCCAATGAAATATGAAAAAAGCTACAAAATTCTGCTATAAATATAATATTTTCTCTTGTGTTTAATGTACTTTTCTCTTTGCATTTTAGAGCTCTTGGATATAAACAGAATATCAATCTTTAGCCAACCTTCTGGATTTCTTAATCTCCGTACAATGTTACTGGATGAATATCAAGAGCGACTCTTTCTGGGAGGCAGAAACCTTATATATTCTCTCAGCTTGGAAAGAATTGCTGATGGCTACAAAGAGGTATGGAAGCCCTAAGCTCTTTATGGAAGAAAAGAAAAGGAAGTCTCTTCATAAATGAGTGTCCCATAGTTTATTTACTTCATTGATTATGTTAACATGACCAATTCATTAGGAAAAAAAGTTCATTCAAATAGAGATTATTTTGAGAAATCTTTTTTATAATCTTGTCTGTTTTCTACCACACAACTCCTCTCTCTAATCTCAGAATACTTTTGATGGCATGTTTGCTACTCCTCTTGCATGATAATCCTTTCCACCATACCCACACTATCAGGAGCCTTAGGGTTGAGAACATGGTGAATCACCAGCACTCTCTCTGGGCTTTATCATCTCCACATCTAAGCCTGAGGAAATAGAGAAATGTGGATCAATTAACTTAACACAGTTGTATCAATGATATCAGTAATTTAGGGAGATGGTCTATAAACCTGGGGTATTAAAATATAATACTAAAACACACACGTGTCTAAATATTCTGTGACTATTTATCTATACTGTGGTTTTATGTAATGTAGTGTTAAACCAGGCTGCTCCTTGGGGCAAGGATTCTGGGGCTTCACCTGACATACTTTGGACATGTTGTAAGGAGAGACAGGTCTTTGGAGAGGGACATCATGCTGGGCAGAGTGGAGGGACAGCGCAGGAGGGGAAGACCCTCTATGATTGATCCAGTGACTGGGGTAATCGGGATGGGTGTGTCAGAGGCAGTGAGATTGGCACAGGATAGAGCAGGGTTTAGGGCTGTTGTACATAGGGTTGCTATGAGTTGGCACATAACAACAACAACAACAACAACAACAACAGTGCTGAAGTAGTTGACTCTCCAAGGGTTTTTTAGAGGCTCAGGAGCTTTGGTGACCTAGTGGTAAGAAACTGTGCTGCATGTCTGGAAGCACATATTTTGATTGTGCCAGCATCTCTGCAGGAGAAAGGGGAACAGTTCCTTGTGGTTTCTGCCTCTGAAAACTGCCTGTAGGGTCAACTATGGGTCTGTTCTGATTCCATGGTGCACAGTAATAACAATAAAGCTCATTGGAGGAATTTGTTCATCTTTTTCAACAAAACAGCTGATGGAATCGAACCATCTGACTTTGGGTTGGCAGCAATATTCCCAGTCACTAGGCCATGATACTTTCCTTACCTAAGTACAGAAAGGGGGGAGAAATGATTTTGCACTTAACGTACAGCTCAGTTGAGCTAAATTTCATATCAATTTTACACAAAATATGCTGAACTATTTAGACCAAATTTTTTGGCATAAATATGTATGTTATAAAGTTATTTTATCATGTCTACATGATAGTGAAAAATAGTGAAGGCCAGCATTTCTTAATTAATTTTTAAGCTCCTTACTATTTCTTATTATTCTTGCCTTCTTATTTTAAAATAACTTTTAGTGGGTTATTTCTTGTTATCTATAAAAGTGATGAGTATTGAAGTTTTCTTTTCTTGCAATATTAAAGCTAAGACATTTGTGTAAATACATACTTCACCAACAAATCCCTGTCATGCCCTTCACATTCCCAATATTATACCAAAATTCTTGGTTAAATAATAATTGAACATTTACAGTATAATAATTATTGTTGTTAAGTACCACTGAGACAGAACTGACTCATAGTTGACCCTCACACATGTTCTCAGAGGCAGTTTATGACATGAGAGGAGACTGCTCATCCTTCTTGCGTGGAGTTTGGTTGGCAGTCCAATTCTTTACAATTAAACCACTGGAGGTCTCTGTATTAGAAATAGGGAAATAATATTCACCAATAAGTAACAAAATGAACATTTTCATATTTATTTACTTTAAAAATTTTTGTACTTTTCTAATTAAAAATAATCCCATTTCTTATTTTAATATTCTTTCATTGATTTTTCACTCTATCAGAATAAGGAAATTTATTCATTTCTATCAATTCCAAGGATTTTTCCTTTCTGGTCAGAAATATCCTTTCTTGTTTTTTAGTCTTGAAGTTTAGCTTTCTTTCATCATCATCCTAGAATAACCTTTCAGCATCCACCTATTGAGAATCTTAGCTTTTCAGCCTTCTAGGGTTGTTTCATGTTTCATTTTTTTTTGTTGGGTTTTTTTGTTGTTTTGTTTTTAGTTTAGTTGGCCATTTTTATTGAAGCATAGCTTCTAGTAGTTTCTTGAAGTCAGGTTCAAGATAAAATTTGAACTTTTTATATTTGAAAACTTTGTGAGCAAAATGTCATCCAAAATGTATAGGTAGATAAAAAAAATTTTGGTTTAAAATAATTTGTTTCAGAATTTTGAGGATGCTATTCCATTATTTGCAAACTCTGAGTGCAGCTGCTGAGAAGTCTGATGCTCTTCTAATTTCAGTTTCTCCACCATTCTACACCTTCACGCTTGATCCTAGGCATTTATAATCTCCTCTTTTTCAATGAGTTGCACTACAAATCCAAACACTAAGAGCCATTGCAGGAAAAAGATGGACAGTCGCATTTTTGTACACTTTACAGCCTCAGAAACTTGATGATGGGTCACTAAAAATTGCAAATGACTTGATAATTGAATGAATTGTTCACTTTTCTTGATGATTTGTGTTTAAAAAACTTCCCCTTATTTCTCTTGTTGTTGTTGTTGTTGTTGTTGTTTGCCATAGAGTCGAGCACGATGCATAGTGATCCTGTGAACAAAAGACCTGAAGCCTTTCTGTAACTATCATAGTTTCTCAAAGTTCATAGAATTCCAGAGACATGTTGTTTAGGAAGTAGATACCACTCCTGCTTCCAAACCTGTTTTAAACTGGGATCTCCAGCAAACACTGTCCACCATAGATAACCATTATGGCACTTGACATTCCAATGGCACAAGGTTCAGCATCATGGCAACCCCAGTTTACTTAACTACAGCAAATTGACACAAGAGTCATCAGAATTTAGTATATTGATTATAATTGTATTGTACTTATGATTTTTAATTTTTTTTAAATTTTCTTTTTTTACTCTATTTGTTATTGGTGATACAGTATTATCTTTGCCACTGTTACCAATTTTAAAGAGTTTTTCCTCAGTTATATGAACTTACTGCTTATTGGAAAGATTTTTAACTTTTTCTGCTTTGATTCACATCCACCTATACTGCTATCTACATTCAGAGGGATCCTTACCCTGTGATCTCTAAGCATTTCTAAAATTCTATTTCACCAATCAAATTGCTTATTGACTTTTCTCACCTTGCATGCAAGTGGTTTTTAGTTTTTCTCATGTGTAAAGCTAGTTTACACTATTCATATGCTTTAGAACTTCCAGAATATTGCTGATATTTTTCTTTTTTTTTTTGGAAGCTTCACTCAAGTACTATTTGTCCTTCATGGATTATAGCTTTTAATCTTTAACTGTCATTTTAATAGTTATAGATGGAGGGGAAGCAAATTTTATATTTTGTCCAAAGTTTTTAATTTCTAGTACCTTTAATTTTGTTTTTCTGTATATTTCTGTTTTTACTTCAAACATATGCAAATTGATATATCTTTCTCCTTCTCTCTCTCTACACGCACACACATTTGGACTCATTTACTTTCTTATCTACATAAAGAAATATATGTGCATATAGAGGATCAGTAAAGGAGAGGAAGACACCCAATGAGATGGATTGACATAATGACTTCAGGATTGGATTCTAGTTTGTCAGTGATGAGGATGATGATCATGGCATAGGATAGAATAGCAGTGTTCAAGTCAGCTATTCATATAGTCTCTAGGGGTTGTACTTGATGATACCTAACAACAATACCTAAACAACAATAACAATGACGGCGACCAAGAGAGAGCTACGTTGGTCTAGTGGAAGGAAACTGTGCTACCAAGACAAAGGTTGGTGATTGTCATCTGTGGCCCTCGGCCAGGTTCAAATTGTCTTCCTGTCAAACATTCTTCTAGGTGGTATAGCACTGGTCTGTGCGTTGCTGTACAGAGGTAACTCATGGTTGCTGTGATGCTGAAGCCTGTGACAGTGATGTGCCAATCGTGGTAATGGGTACCCATGGTGAACAGTGTTGGCTGGAGCTTCCCGACTAAATCAAGCCTGGAAGCAGGAGCAGCATCCACTTCCAAAATGGCTTGCCTCCGGAAACTCTATGTACGAACAGTGCTCAGGCTGTTCGTTCATAGGGTCGCTATGAGTCGTCTACAACTCGACGGCATTAAACAACAACAACAATAACAATATAGATAGCATGTTTGGGAAAGTGGAGGGTCAGCAAAAGAGAGGAAGACCCTTAACAAGATTGAGGTGGCATAGTGAATGCAATAGTGTGCTCAAATATATCAGAGATGATCAGGATGGCACAGGACAGGGCAAGATTTGATCTACCATTCATAGAGTCACAGTGAGTTCTAATTGACGACACTGAGGACAAATATATATATTATATTATATTATATTATATTATATTATATTATATATAGAGAGTACGCGCGTGCAAGAGAGATAGTATCTGCGTGTATGTGTGCATGTATCATTTTATAGTTTCATCTATCTCATTCCTAATAATTGGTGGGACTCATTCATTGATTGTCATAATTGCTGCCCAACTGAAGACAATCTCTAAGATAATGGCATTGTCCTTTTCATCACATTCAGGGGCTTCTCTTTCACCTTTTGACTTCTCTTTTTCTGACTTCAGTCTTAATTTGAGATGTTCCCCCAATGGCTCTTCTCTTTTTCTTTCAGTGAGTTCAACTCCAGTTTTCTGTAAAGAACTATTTTAGCTGGGAGTATAAATATGTGCTATGTATTGATCTTTTTTGATGTTCAGTGAATCATAAATGTCAAGAAATTATTTGAAAAGTGTGGTTATATTTCTATTTAAAAGTCTCCATGAATCTGGGATGCTAGAAGGTTAAGGATCTTGAAACAAGGAAAGTAGTTCTTACATTGTCATTACTGACTGGGATCTCATGACGCTCATGGAGTAGAGCCCAGGAATCCACATTGGTCACAAGCTTCAGAGCTGACTCTTATGTCTTCC